GCTTTCACCGTGGACGAAGCGGAGTCCAGCCCGGGGTCGTCACATGTGGTTGCCACAAGCCCGCCGGCCGCTCCTTTGTCGAATCCGCTGGCCGCGCCGTTTTCTAGCCCGTCGTGTGTGATGCTGTGTGTTTTGTTGTGAAAGCGAAACTACTTTGTTTGGTCTTCCAAAAGAGGACACAACTAGAAATCAGTGGTTAAGTTGTATTTACAACACTGTTCCAGAACAGTTCAAACCAAATATTCAAATGTGTGCAGCGCATTTTGTGGAGGATGAGGACTGTTTCCTGTGAAAGTAGCCTACAATGCCAATGTGTCTGTTTCTATAAAGTGGGGCAGTTCCAACTTTGCAAGGACAGTCTGGCGCTTCTGACTCACAGCCTGTAAGTATGTTTTTTATATTTAAAGAATTTATAATGGGTTTTATTGTTTTTGTCTTGTTGCGCCGGGACACAGGCATCTGTGGTAGGGACACAGGTACATGGTAGGGGTGTAACATTTCAGTCACATGCTTGAGGTATTCGGCCAATCACAATGCACTTGGATAGCTGGCCAATCAGAGCACACCTCACTTTTCAGACCGATGAGCTTTGTAAAAATCGACGTGTTTCAGAAAGGCGGGGCATAGAGGAGAAAAAATAATGTACAGAATGTGGAAAATAATGTGCTTTTTTAACCTAAACCGCATTAACACATTGCATTAAACCAAATACACAACATAATGTTCTTTTTAGCAACATCATACGACCCCTTTAACAACTTGTGAAATGAAAAGCTGCGTGTTTGTGAGAAACAAATCCATCATTATAAGGTGTTTTAACTACCTTTGCTTCTGGCGAAAATATAAGTCCATAATCCATAATACGGCTTCCTCCGGTGATTAAGGCCATCCCCTGTTGTCCTCTTGTATCAGAATCCACCATCATGGCTGTTTTGAACTGTTTTGGCTTGTAAACAGTGCTTGATCTGTACTTATTTCTCGCCTGATTCAGACAAGACAACTTTTTCACTGGAGGAAGCATTATCATGGATTATGGACTTGTATTTTAACTGGAAGCGACAATATGAAGTTCAATGATGGATTTATTTGGGTAGTGAAAACAGACAGAAAATCTATCCATCAAATACAACCCTATTTTGTATTCTCAACCACAAAATCCCACCAAGTTCAAACACTTACTCTTAAATAAAAACTGAATGGTTAACATTTGCAATTGAGTCCAAGGACTTTAGTCAGAAAGAGTGCCCAGTGTGTGCATGTGGAAACATATCTAGGTGCTTTGGTTCAGAGGTGAAATGCTTCATGGTCAAACAAACACTTAAAAGCTCAGTGAGCGCTGAACAAATAAATCAACAATGTCAGGATTATTGACCTGGAAATATCAGGGTTTGCAGAAATGCAGACCTGTGCAGTTTGGTTTAAAATACAACACTGCAAAATTATCTTACTCTGTATTTTTGACTTTCGAAATTAAGTGAGGGGTCAAAAAAATAAACTTAATTCAAATGGAAAACAAATTGTAACCACCAAACATATTGTAAATGGTTTCAATATGTGAAATATGAATATTTTAAACTGCTGACATATAATAAAATGTACTTCAAGGGCAAAATACATTTCCAATATTAATATATTTTAGACTTAAATGCAAAGGTGTGGAAATGCGAGTATATCCCCCCTTTGAAAGTGTTAAAACAGTAAAGTGTATTTATTTATATACATTATGTACGTATATTGCCACACAATTTATTTTAAAATAAATTGTAAAAAACAGTAACATTGTGAAATATTATTGTAATTTAAAATAACCATTTTCTATTTTAATATATTGTAAAATATCATTTATTTCTGTGATGCAAAGCTGAAATTTCAGCATCATTACCCCAGTCTTCAGTGTCACATGATCCTTCAGAAATCATTCTAATATGCTGATTTGCTGCCCATAAACATTTCTGATTACTATCAATGTTGAAAACAGTTGTGCTATTTCATATTTATGTGGAAACTGTTATCTTTTTTTTTTTTTTTTGGTGAAAAGAAAGCTCAAAATAACTACTTTTATTTGAAATGCAAATCTTTTGAAACATCATAAATGCCTTTACTGTCACTTGTGTACTTTTTATCAATTTAATGTGTCTTTGCAGTAGACGCGTATATCTCAACACCTATTTCTCAGTGAACATCCTTTTATGTACTGTGACGAGCGTCCCGAAGCTTCATCAGCGTCGAGGTTAGCATCCGCCAGCAACAAATCGTTGAGCACCTCGCCACCCGTCAAGGAGAGACAGAGCAGGAACTCGTGGCACTGCGTGCCGCCGCCGCTTAAAACGTTCCGCGGCCGGACCCCCGAGTGCAAGCCGCGAAGCTGCTACCCAAGCTGACCCCTCACGATGACGTAGAAGCCTTCTTACAAATGTTCGATGAAGCATGGGCAATGATGATGAAATTAAATGAAATGACTGGGCAAGGGTGCTGGCTCCCCTGCTGACGGACGAAGCGCAGCGTGGATACTTCGCTCGTCCCGCAGCCTCCGCCGATCAATATAAGGAGGTCAAGAAGGAAATCCTAGCCCGCCTGGGGTTATCCCCTATCTGTGCTGCCCAGCACTTCCACGAGTGGGAGTTTAAGCCCCGTCTGCCGGCCCGTGCCCAGGCCGCCGAACTCACATGACTCGTGCAACACTGGCTGCTGGAGGGGGCTCCATCGGCTGGACAGTTGGCGGAGTGCATGGCGATAGACCGTCTTCAAGCCCTTCCCCGATCTCACCGACAGGCCCTTGGGATGAGGAACCCAACCACGTAAGAGGCTGGCAGATGCGGCCCAACACCTGGATGCTGGGGCGCGAGCGCCGCCATTTCCCCGGAGGGTGGCCGAGGAGGGGCGGAGGGCACCCCGCGACCAGTATGCAGGCCGGCGGCTCCCTCCCAGCGGGATGAGCCCATGCCA